CAGTGATTCTATTCTTTATTGCATATTTTGCTAGCTTACCTGGCTAGAAATCAGGCTCCTACTAAACCCTATGGAACCCTTCTTATATACAGAGTTACAAATTTGGGGAAGCAATTCTGAAATTTCTTCGTGAGGTCTTCCATAACTCTTTGGTGGATGCTTTCTATTCCCATATGATTTTTATGGAGTTTATCAGACAAGTCTAGAACAAATAAAAGTATTTGATCTAGAAAAATGACATGTCTGCCTTAAAGGCAAACAGAAATACAAGGTTAGATAGAATGTCTCTTTGTAAAGAGCAAAGAATTAATTTGGTCTAGTTGTCTTGCCTCAGTACCAAGAATAAGAACTGATTACAAATGTCATTACCCACTATAGTTATAAATCAAATATTCTCTTTTACTGCTCTCTTTTTACTCTCCTCACTCCTTCAGAACATTTGCATACAAAAAATTGATTATCTCTGCAAGAAGCCTGCCCAGTAAAAAAAAAAAAAAAGAAAAAAGAAAAAAATTGATAGTAAAATGAGCTAAATTAAAGACTGACAACAGATTACCTCCTTTCTGAATTTCACTCCATCGGAACTGATGGCGTCTCACAACAGAGAAAACAGAATCATATCCTTCTTCTCGAATCATTTCTGCAACTTTTTGAAGGTCAGTAGGATGTAAACATGGAGAAGTAGCTTGAATATTTCCTACAATGTCAACCTCTTAAGAAGATAAAAGAAAACAAAAAGGACATCAAAATAAAGTTCCTTGCAAGCAAGTAATCCTAAGATTTTGAATTCAATGTTAAAACAGGTCTTGTGAGATGATAAGGAAGGTGGAAATTACATGAAATTTTGAATAAACTATCAAACTCATACCATTGTGATAATTAAGAAATTCTATGATGGCATCTAGTGAGGTAGAGCTGTCTTTTGAAACTTCAGAACTTCTTCGATGAACCTGTGCACCAAATTGTTTGGCCACATTCTCAATTTCATCGTGGTCTGTTGAAACCCACACACTGTTTAGACAGTAAAAAAAAAATTAAACGGCTCAGTAAAAGAAATCACTAAGTATAAAGTGGAGCTCTGTAACACTAAAATACAGCTTATATAATGTTAGGATAGTTTTTGTACCATCAAAATAATGTTGAGATCCAAAGTAATATAAAATGTAAAGAAATTATAAAGTAGTTTGTATGTAAATTATATTAGGGTCTGAATAAAAATGTAGTCCTTCCTAGATATATTTACATATAAAATATATTTTATGAATTATACATTATTTATTATTTACATAAATATTATTTAGGTAACCCCAGATATAGTTTTATAAAATTGGAAAAAAACAATACTTGGCATTTTTTAGGATTATTAAGCAAAATAGCACTAAAAGTCAAATTTAAAGGAAATTAAAGAAGATACTGCTTCTTATTCCCCATTTGAATCCAACATATTGTATAAAGTATTTTAAAATACTTGCTAAGAAAAAAATGGACTTCACTTAGCCAAACCATAAAGGTGAAACATTTCTTCAAGTTTAAGAGAGAAAAATGCCCAAGTCTGGGCTCAAAACAAACATATAATCCAACCCTTTTTGTTTTTTTTAAACAACAAATAATGGGTATATAGATATTTGAACACAGAATCAACTGGTGTATAGCCATTGATAACAACAGACATGGCAAATATGACTTCATTGACTCAGGAGAATTTAACACTCTATTAACCACAGCTTACATAATTATCTATTTAGATTTTATAAGATGACAACTAAGGGCAAAATGCTATCTTGGAGAGGTGTACTAGTCTCTACTGAAGTTTTTTTCCAGAACCTTCACAAATTCCCATGCTAGAAATAGAAGATATGAATATTACTCTAGCCACAATATTTGAACAGTGATATTATGCAAAGATATTTTAATGACTTCATAGTCTTTGACATATACACACACACACACACATTTTTTCTCTTATCCCATTCATTCAACACCTACTGAAGGAAAGAGAATTGCATGTTTCATATGTCTATGCTCAACTGTCAAAAGTGAAAATGTGAGAAACTAAAGAAAATTTTCTAACATCTATGGGTTTCATTTATTCATTTATTCCCTTTAATATTTGTAGAAGGATTTAAATTAAGTGATAAAGTCAATAATTAAAAAAATTTTTTCAAAGGACGTCTGGTAAACAAGATGAGCCACTGGCTGAGTCAGGAGTCTCACACTATCTGCTCATGTCGCTCTGTGCAAGGGATGACACACGAGTCCCCATTCTCCTCCCTCTTGAAATCTGAAATAGTTTTCGGACGAATCTTTCACTGGAAAAATATCACAGTCAAAGGTATATAACAAAGTAAAGCACCAATGAAAATCCAGTGCATTTTTAAAATAGAGAAGGTAAAGGGAGGATGATAAGGTAGTAATTAGAATACAGTAAAAAAGTGAACAAAAAAAGCCAAAGACATAGGTCTTTTGACATCTAATTTATGTCATTAATTGAAGTAAATTACTGAAGCCATTACTTTACTGTCCTGATCTCTACTCCAATGAAAAGTGAATACCAGAGGGTTCAGTGATCTTTAGGAAATGTTTGAAAGGTAAGTAACAAAGTTTAGACAAAGTTTGTTTGCTTGTTTTTCTTCCTTCTTTCCTTGTTTTTCATTTATTCCTTCATGAAATGCTTACTAGTGCCTGTTCTATCCCAGACACTATTTTGGACACTGGGGATGTAACAATATATACAGTACAGTCCATTTTCTTGAGAAACTCTTAGCCTATCCGTAGAGACTGAGGCCAACACAGTACTTTAATTCCCTTTAAACTCCATTAGGGAAAGAGAGGTGAGGAACCAATTAAATAACAACACACTCTTGATGATGCTTTAGTTTTTACAAAGTACTTTTGCAGTGCCTGCTACATACCATGTACTTAATATATATTAATATTAAATGAATGAAACAGTATGTGGTTAAGAGCATGGGCTCTGAAGGGAAAGAGGTTCAAATTCTGGCTCCCTCCCATGCTAGCTATATAACCCTGGGAAGAATCTATAATCTCCCTCTGCCTTAATTCTCAGTAAAATGAAGGTGGTGATAATAGCGGGTACCTCATATGGCTGTTATGAGGATTAAATATAAACCACTTACCACAGAATAAACATTTAATAAATGTTAGTGATTTAAAATACTAAAACAGGAATGGTAATAAACATCTCTCTTTCATTTAATCTTCATACTATATCTCTTCTAAGGCCCAAATGCTTAATTTTTATGTATTATGTAAGGCAATGGCCCTATGAATACAAAAATATGAAAATAATATCCCATATGTACACTTAAAATACAATGATCACCTATTAAAGGGACTGAGCAGGTAAGTTTACTTTGGTTTAAGGGCATCAGGTGAGGATAAGCTAAATAGAAAGAAGAAACAAGTGCGCAAACAGACCTAACAAAATTTAAAATCAAGTAGAATAAATATCAAAGTCTAATGCCAATGGCTTTGGCCTTGAATGAAGTTATATTACATTTAACAGGATGAACGAGAATACCAACCATGGTGCCTATGACAATTATTTTTAATCGTAAATTTCCATTTTAGGGGTAACAACACATCATAGGCTTTTCACTAATCATAAATCTATATCTTAGAAATGAAACTAAAACAGTTATTTTTCACAAGTATGTTAGGCAACATTTAAAAATCAATTTGTTCTGAGGTGTATTTACACAGCACTGAACCACTGTTTAAAATTAAGCTCTTACAAAGTCAACTGTAGCAATAACTCTTTATTAAATGAAAAAAAATCCTGTCAGCATTTTCCTTGACTGCTAACTATCCTAGTTAGTATGCAAAGTTTAGCAACCTCAAAAAGTGTTGTTAGCTTTGATTCTGAGCAGGGCATAGAAATATGTCTCAATTAAGTTAAATCATGGCTTTGAACAAAATAATCTCCAACGTATCTTCTAGCCCTGAAAAACACAAAGCAGGCAGCTACAATTTTCTTCAATTGTCTCCTAAGGCAAATGTTTTTTGAAGGAAGAAAAAGAGGGTGGGATGCAGGAAGGGTACTCCAAAGGCCTCCTGGAGCTTCACAGTAAGTCAATTAAATTCAAATTAACACATTTTAACTGAGGATCTAATATATAAAGCACACCAAAATGAGTACAATAGTACCTGCTCATAAGCAGCTTTTCACCTAGTATGGCAGGGGTCACCCCAGGCCAAATCCAGCCCACTCCTCAGCCTGTTTTTGTAATGTTTTATTCGACTACAGCCACACTCATTCCTTTACGTATTGTCATGGCCACTTTCACAACATACAACAGCAGAGCTGCATGGCCGCAACAGAAACCATCTGGCTTGCAAAGTCTAAAATATTTACTATCTGGCCCTTTAGAGAAAAAGTCTGCCGACCACCGAAATAGAGACTAAAGGCATATTTCCATTAACTCTTCAAAGAATGCTAGCACTAGAAAGAATTCTGAAATCATTACAAGTTTCCTATTTTATTATACAAGAAAGGAAACTGTGGTCCACGACAGAGATTAACAGTAAAAACTTCTAAAACAAGGGAAAAATGTCAACAGATCACATACTATGTGCCAGGCACTAATCTAAGGGCTGCATAGACATTATCTCACTTAATTCCCTTGGCAAGCCTAGGAGGTAGACCTTTAAGTACATTTTGCAAATGAGGAGACTGAGGCATAGAGAGATTAAGTGATTTATCCACGGTTGCAGTTAATACACAGTGAAGCTTGAGTTTGAAACCATACAGTTTGACTCCAAGGTCTATAATCTTACCTTTTTGCATGGTACATGCACTAAATGAAGGTACAAACATCATTGTCATATATAGGAAACAAAAGCACAATTACTTTTCAATGAAGGGATCAGCAAAGGCTTCATGGAAGAAGTAGTGTTGGTCCCTTCTATTACCTTTTGAGTTAAATCCCGGAAAGGATGCCGGTTAGCAAGCAGCCATGAGAACTGAACAGAATAAATCCACACTATGACATGATATTGTAAGTTAGGAAAGGCAGAGTTAGAAATATGCTCATTTTGCTAGTTAAAGGCAAGAATGGTTTTATTTCTTCTAATCACTATTACTGGTATAGTCACAGATACCACAGGTAGCTTGAAGAAGTATAAAACACTATTCCTATAGTAACGAGCTTATACTCCAGATGTATTAAATAAAACTAATTGGTACAAAAAAAATTGATACTTGAATCATTTATTTTTTAAAGGAATTTTGTACAAATGCATTTTAATAAATGGAAACAGGAAAATCATTATTTAATATATACATGTATTTTCCAATCATTTCATAGAAAAATCCCCAATATCTGCTGTTACGGTTATTTGTTGAGTTTTGACTCCCAGAATCTATTGCCCCTCACTTTTGGTAATTGTACTCCAGTTTTCCTCTTGATCGCCTGTCACGTGTTTCAGTGGGGCTCCATCGGGGGCTCCAAGAGTGGAGATATGGCTAAACTGTACCAATGCAAGCACTGTGGTCAAGGATGAGCAGGGGATGAGCAAGGATGAGGCACAATGAGATTTTTGTTAAAGCTTTGAGGAGAGCAGCTCCTTCTGACTACACTTAAACCTGGAAGGATATGAGGAGTGCCGTCAAGGATAAACAAAGCCGATCCTAGTTAAAATGGTAAGGACAAGTTGTACTCCGTAACTACTGCAACAGGGAAGAGTATCCAGCATGAACTGAACTCAAGTTCCCTGAGAACAAAAGGCTGGACACTTTAAAGGCTGAGGTGTGCTAAGGGAAAGGCATTAAGTGGTGTTAAGGAGGGCTAGTCCTTGTGACTAGGCCCCCTGAATTTGTTAATTCGTGCTGATCTGGAGGAGAAACAACTTCTATCTTTATGAGACAAGGCAATGGTGCAAGTTGCAGCTAGGTGCCCTCCGAAGTTAGCCCCTTATCTTCCCATAGGGTCTGGGAAGGAAAGAGTTATTTCCTAGAATTTTGCATTTCTCTGAGAAGGGGCTCTCAGGTCCATGAAGAAACACTTTGGGGTGATAGATTTTTATCTCAAAGGGCAGAGAAAGTTTTTAGAACTGTAAGCTTTCTACAGTAACTGCTCTAAAAGCGGGTTCAGGAGCCTATCTGCCTATCATCAGGTTTTTCCTAGAACAATCAGGAAGTTCTCCTGGCAGCATTGGGCCTTCTCAGGTAGACATTTTAAGGGGAACTGGGACCAACCATCCTAGGGACACAGCCTCAAGCTGCTTAGAAGCCATGCTAGGGTTTGGTCAAGTCTCTTGGTGCAAAGGTTTGGTTGGAGTCCTTAAGTGCCAAGAGTTCTGCTGTCCTCAGTACAACCACTTTGACACCATAAAGGGAGCACCTATCCAGACCTAAAAAATTGAGGATTCTGGCGATAGAGTGCACCATCCTCTTACCGTGCTTTATTTTTCTTTAAAACATGTATCACCACCTGATACAACATATATTAACTTGTTTGTATACTGACTGTCTCTCCTTATGTAATAAGCAAGCTCCATGAGACTAAGGACTGATCCTACTGCTATTGGTATGACACCTGGGTCAGTGCATAGAACGGTTCCTGTCACATAGTGGGTAGTCAGTAAGTATTCGCTGAATGGATAAATAATTTTTTTTTTCTTTGATTTGACTGTACCTGAAACAAGCCTTTCCCTTTTTTGTTAAGCCAGTTTGAAAGGCATTTCCTGACATATGGTACCCCACAGTTGTAAATGATAGTTTTGTTCCCAATCTACTGTAAATATGACTTTGATCTCTAGTTTGTTTCACAAAAATGGGATTTTACTTTATTTCTGCGGCCTGGATGCACCTACTTCTGGCAGTCCCTTCTTTTCAGTTTGTACCCTTTCTAAGAAGGTAACAATGTCCAAAAGTTTATGAGCTTCACAAGGACAACCATGTCCATACCATTTATCTCTGTATTCCCTTGGATGTGTATAGCAGAAAGTAGGGCTCAGTAAATGTCTACTGAATTGACGAAATCCCCAAGTCCTTCCCTATCTCTCCTTTGCACATTTCCTATGACATTAGTGTTGACTTCTGAGTGCCTGCTCATATTTGCCTTGCTCCACCCAGGACTTCCTCTGAAGTTGAAACATTAAGAAAATTAGAAAATTTATACTTTTTTGCTATCTCCTTTTTAAATAAGATTGGTTAAATGAAAATCATTTACCCATATGTTAATATGGGTAATTAATTATGAGTAGTTAATATGCTTCAAAAACAGCCATCTCATTAAAAAAACAAAACACAAAGGTTGAAATAAATTAATTTTCACGGTAACAACAAATTTAAGTGTAATTAGGTTGAAGCTACTATGTGTAAATTAATTCTTGGCACCGAATTTGATTTCCCGTTCTTTATAAATGACATCAGCTTGTAACTCCTGACCAATTTGGCAATGTCTCTAAATGATGCACAATTAAAACTGTCCTTGGGGAAGAGGAGGTTCTAAAGGTGTAATAAAACCATTTACAAGTATATCATAAAACAGCCAGTGGTATACCTTCCCACTGTCTCTCATGTATAAACATAAGGAGCTTTCTAGATTGTGCTGACTCACAGGCAGACAGCTAGACTTTTTTTTCAAAGGTTAGGAAAGGATCTCCAAGCTGAGCTTGTCAGCTCTGACACCCGACTCCATTCAAGAACCTGATGCCTCCTTAATCGATCAGCTCCAAGCAGTTATCAGAGGCTGAGCAACAGGGGAGCCCCAAGCAAGGCCCCTGTCTAAAAGAGTTCACATATTATCACAGACGCTGCACCGGGGTGGCCTACCTTTACTTTTCCCCCTGAGGTCAACCTGGGAGGAAGGGACAGCTGGGAAAGGGTAATCTCCTCTTTTCACGGACAGCATTCTCAAGGGCGGGGATAGGAACTGTCCCAGGTCATAACCATTAGCAGTTACGGAACAAGGAAGGAGCTGGAGCTCTTCCTCCTTGGGCTCTCGGCCCGGTCTCGGACACCCCGGGTCCTGCACGCCCCTTGCAGGAGCGATCGCCCCTGCCAGGAGCAATGGCCCGGGAACCCCAGCCCCTCCAGCAGCCTGACTTCCTCTCCCGACCCCCGCCCAGGCCGCGCCGCCCACTCTCGCACATGCGCACCTCTGGAAGACCCCCGAGTCCAGGGCCGCACGCAGGACCCAGCCAATGAGCGGGACCCCCGCCAGGTGCTTAATGTTCTTCAGGGGGATGCCTTTGCTGCCGCCCCGGGCCAGAATCAGGGCCGCCAGGTGCGGGGGCTTCTCCACACCTCGGCCCTGGCCGCCGCGGGAGTTGCGCTGCAGCTTGGGGGGCCGGCCCCGGGACGGCCGCCCCCGCGGGTTGGAGACGGAGGTGGCGGCCCCCTTCTCCACCGAGTCCATCTTCCTCCCACGCCTTCTCCCCAGCTTCTCCACATCCGGGAGCTAGTCCCTCGCCACCTCAGCTCGGCGCCGCCCGATCCCCGCCCGACCGCTCGCGCGGGCGGCTGCTCTGCGCCCCGCCCCTCGCTCCGCCCCCTCGCGCGGCAGGCCGGGAATTGCAGTCCTCTGCCGCCCGCCCGGCTCCGGAAGGCCAAGCAGGCTCTGGTGAAGGAACCCCAAACCTAAACCAAGAAGAGGGAGCCCAGAGATGTTGGGGGGACGTGCGGTTTCTGGAGTGCTTGATAGTGTCTGGAGATTTCCAAAATAAGCAAAATAGATTACTGATCTTTTGCTGAAGAACGTTCCCAGTTAAGAATTATAGTGGGTTTTCCGCTGCACACCCTGATGCACCCTAACACGGATCAATTTTATATTTTAAAATGGATATTTTAAACATCCATCTTTTTTTCAATGCTTCTGACTCATTTTTTCCGAGAGATTACTGACCACCTCATTCAAATATCCTGCAGGCACCTTAAACTCTCAGCTCTCCAAGTGGATTCAAACTGCTTCTGTCTCTGCACTTTCCATCAACAACATCACCATCTACCTAACTGCAGAAGCAAGGAAGTCAACCTCATTACTCACCTTTAGTGTAGTGGATACCTGTTTTTGCTTTTTGGATTTTTTCTTGCTAAAAATCCTTTTCCTTTAGGGATTGTTGCCTCCCTCACCCAGTGAGGCTTTCACTCACATTTTTTGCCTTGCAGTAGTTGTTGTGTAACCCAAACTTGTCAGTCTAAGAACGCCATCTCCCTGAACACAGTTGTGTTCTAGGGACAGGCATCTGACCTAGCAGAACCCACTGGAGTCCTTTCCAGAGACTCCTGGAAGTAAAGGATCTTTCTCATGCTGAGTCTTTGGGTGCTAAGGACCTCGTAAACCTGAATTCTCAGGGTAGGGGCAGGATAGGGGAATAAGCAGGCTTTGCTCTTCTGAAATGGGTTGGGAGACTGATGTTCACACTGAGAAAAGCAGGGCCAAGACATGTAGGGACAAGAGAGAAAGAGCCCCGACGGCATCATTTAAACCTCTTGATCCAGCCTCTTAAGAGGCACACACACACACACACACACACACACACACACACACACACACCTCTCTCTCTGTTTTTTTTATATAGATTTTTAAGCAAGTATCTCTGACCTAACACACATTTTGTATTTCACCACTTTTGCAAGCCTATATCAGGAAGTAGAAAGCCTCCTTACCTGTCCTAGGTGAAGGCTAAATACATTCGGAAAGAATGGATTGTGGTGTATCGCCTTGCCTTTTCAGAGAAGGTAAAAGACCTGTGTGCCTCTCAAGTCTTGTTTTTTTCTGAAGGGATCAAAATAACCTTTCAGTGTTTTGGGTCCTAGGAGAGGTACTGGACACTTTACTTCTCCTTGCCCGTGAAGTAGCTGATGGCCCAGCCCTTTGGGGGACTGGTGCCAGGAGAAGGTGTTTCATGCAGACATGGGGTGGGCAGCTGTGGCAGACATCCATGCCATGGCTGGAGAAAGGGGGAAGGCTCTAGGAGCCATCCCATCACTGCAGGACAAGGGGACAACTTGCCCCCTCCCACACTGGCTCTTCGAATGGAACCTTTGCAGTTGGTATGCTTCAGAGACAATGACACTGAACTTTTGGTAACTATGCAAGGAGGACACCTACTGCTTCATATACACCACAAACTCCTTCCTCTTCTCTGCCCCAATAACAACCTTAGTTCTCTCCAATAGCTGCTATTCTCCACAGTATTTCCCTAGAAGCCTATGAATCCTAGTGGCCACCGATCCCTGAGTAGTTTCACTCCTGGGGCACATTGGTGTCCTCCAAGCTGGTGATAGACCAAGTGGCACCACTATTACTTATCAACTTCTATTATAGCAATTTGCATAAATTTCAGAAGACTGTAGTCTCCTCTAGGAGAGGAACTGTTCCTTCTTTGTAATCTTATTATCCAGAACAATGCTTGAATCACAGTACTGCACAGTAAACATTGGTGAACTGCGTCTCATATTACTTTTTCAGTCTCTACCCACACATACTTTTTTATATAGTTGCAATCTTGTGAAAATAAAGAATTTTTTATCCTTTGTATTGTTACAGCACCATTTTAGTTAGACCTGACAATTAGCTAATTTCAGTCTTGGGGTGGGGGAAGGAGGAGAGAGAGAGAGACAGAGAGAGGGGAGTTGGTAGTAAAAGTGGAAGGTGATGCATCCAGTTCAATATATGGCACATAGAAGTTAATGAAATTTTTTCCCAATAAAATTAGAGTATACTTATTTAAGGTGGGTTTGTGTGTGTGTGTGTGCGTGTGTGTTTGTCTAAAGAGAGAATGACTGTGCCAGGAGGAATAGAAAGTGTTATCTTGTCTTTGCCTTGGATTGTTATCGTGTCTTTGTCTTGGATTACTTTGGAGGAAAAATATAAACTGCTGTCAAAGCAAATATTTGGAGTCATCCTTCCTTTAGAGATGAGCATGAAATATTGTTGCCAAGGAATAATTCATTCATATTTATAGTGAAAGAGCATATCTTTATATTACCTCTTGTTTTACGATTTTCTGTAAGAAAAAACTCAGTTCACAGAGGAGTCATTTCATTCAGTCACTCATTTGTTCACATTTATTGCATTCCACAAGCCAGGATCTGCACTACACGTTAGAAATACCTGGTCACGATGAGCAAGACAGGGAGCTTAACATGATGACGGAGACACAGGCAAACCATGCTAGAGTGTCGTTTGAGCTTTGGCAGAGGTGTATGTAAGGAAGGCAAGCACGGGAGAAGTATTCAGGCTAGAATGAGATTTTTGTTGGCTGAGATGACTCTTGAAAGGCTTTAGAGTTTAAGAATGTTCTAGGTTAAGGGAACAGCCTTGTGGAAGGCACTGAGGAATGAGACTGCATGATAACGTGGGAGACTTGAAGTAGTTCGCTATGATTGAAGCAGAAGATATTTTTTGGTGAGCAGCAAAAGATGAGAATCGAGAGGAGCACGTGGGCCAGATCACAGCACCTCAAGGTCTTATGGGCTCAGCCTTGTCGAGGAAGTTATGGAGAGCAGGGGTATGACTTGATTCACTTCATTCATTTTTTCAACAAATAAATATTGCATGACTACTGTGTGTCAGGTACTTTTCTGGGCACTGAAAATATATTGAGGTGATGCAAAGTGCTCAAATTCTGGATGTGTTTTATAAGCACAGTTAATAGGATTTTCTGACAGACCAAGTGAGGCTGTGAGAGAAAGAGAGACCAGCATCTTCGGCCTGACCATTGGTAAGAGGGAGTTGTTATTCACTGAGATGGAAAAAGACTATAAAATAACCAAATTTGGGGGGCAGAATTAGGAATTCTGTTTTATAAATGCCATGTATGAGACACCTATTAGACATCCAGAGGGATATAAACTGTGGTCTATTAAACGAATTGGCCTAGAGTTCACAGGAGAGATCTGGGATATAAATATAACTTTGGAGCTCTCAGTATGTAGATACTACTCAAAGCCATAGGACTAGATGAGAATGAGAGGTGATGTTAGAGAGAAAAGGGAAGAAACCAGATGAGATCAGCTAGGATGAAAATGTGAGCAGAAAAGAAGTCCAAAGGCTGAGCCCTGGTGTTCTCCACCATGTAGAGGTTAAGGAAATGAGAAGAAGACAGCAAAAGAAACCAAGATAGAATGCAAAACAGAAGGGTAGCCAGTATGGTAGCCTCACATCTAAGTGAATAAAAGTGTTGGAAAGAGGAAAAAGTGATCAATCATATCAAAGGCTGTGATTACCATTGTGAAAGTTATCAATGCCAAAATGAAGTCACTTATCTCTAACCCTAATAAAACAGAGTCAGGAGGCCATGAGAGAAGGGCAGTCATACACTATGCCTATACCAAAAAATAGCACAGGAATTTTTTTTCAAACTTCAGCTTGCTACATGAGTCACACAAGACAGCTGGCCAGACAAGTACAGCTAGCTGCTTGTACAAGAATGCTTGCCTGATACTGTCTCCACTAATGAGCTTGCATCAACTCCTGCAATAAGCCCTTATAACCGGTGTTCTCTTTGTTTCAAAACAACTTACATGCACTTCTCTCTTTTGTCTTTAAATGCTTCCCCTTGCCTCAACCTCCCCAAACGTGACTATGATCCATCTCAGCATGCGTACCCGGCTTGCAATTCCCTCCTATTCCCAAATAAGCTCTCTCTTTGGAGAGTATGGATCTCTCTGTTGTTGTTTTAGATTGACGTCATGTAAGAGGAAGAATACATTGTCGTATGTTGTATTTAGGAATGTGGCCTCATGGTGATCTTAAGAAAAGTAGGTCCACTGGCTTGGTGGTGGCAAAAACCAGATTAGGGTGAATTATAGAGGGAATGGGAGAAGGGAACGTGGAGATCGTGAGGAGAGACAATTGGAGAGTTTTGGTATAAGGAAAAAAGAGGAGAGACAGTAGGTGAAGGATTAAGTGGGAGTCAAAAGAGTTGTTTTGGGTTTTTTAAGAGGTGGGAAATATGTGACTTTGCATATTGATAAAAATAGTCCAGTAGAGATGGAGAAATTAATGATACAGAAGAGAGAGGGAAGAATTGCTGAAGCCGTTTCCTTGATTAGACCACAAGGGATGTGATCTAATTCTAGAAGAACTGGTTTGGCTGGTAACAGAAGATAAACTTTAAGTGCATGAAACTATGGAACTAGCCCCTCAAATACTGAACTTAAGGCTACCAAAACCAGAGAAGGTTCTGGCTAGCCTTGAGAAAAGGGATGCTTCTGGAATAAGACCCTGCAATATGGTGAATTAAAAATGTTCACCACTTTGATGATGTTAATGGAGAATGGCCATTTGCTAGAGGGGTCTAATCATACTCATAGTTAACATTTATTGAGAACTCGTGTGCCATTCAGGCTGCTGAGCTTTTTTCTATGTATATCTCATTTCATCCCTGCAACAACCCTTCACTACTTAACATCATACCCAATTGTAGATAAGAAAACTGAGCCTCATTTAGAGACGTTTAACTCCTACTGAAAGTCTCACAGCTGGCAAGTGGTCAAGAAGAGATTTGAATCCAGAGTCTCGAACTCTAGAAGCTGAGTTCCAGGCCCTTAT